GAACTATATAAAGACTTGCAGAGTGTTTTTAATCAATATCTATTAGAGGTCTTTAATACAGTACTTACTGAAGCTAAAATACCTAAGTCCTGGTTAGAGGCAAATATAACACTGATTCCAAAAGCAGATATGGAAAAAATATGGATACAAAATTATAGACCCATATCTTTATTGAATTCAGATTACAAAAATTTTGCTTCAATAATGGCGGAGAGATTTAAAAAATATTTAATAATTTTATACACCCGGATCAAAATGGCTTCTTACCAAACAGACAGATTAAACAGAATATGAGAACAATCTTAGATATTTTAGAATTTTATGAATCACATGATTGGCAAATGGCACTTCTGTTTTTGGATGCTCAGAAGGCTTTCGATAATGTTAATTGGCAATTTATGATACAACAATTAAAATTAATGGAAGCCAGAGGAAATTTTTTTAAATGTTATAACTGCAATATATTCCAAACAATTTGCGCAGATCATAATAAACGGGGTGACTACAGATAGATTTAACATACAGAAAGACACTAGACAGGGATGCCCTCTCTTGCCATTGCTGTTTATTTATACTCTAGAAATTCTTGCTAGAGTGGTAAGGCAAGAAGGACAGATTAGAGGATTTAAGATTAAGAAAGAAATATATAAACTTCAGGCTTATGCAGATGACCTAGTATTTATTTTGGAAGACCCAGAACACTCTTGGCAGAAATTATTTGAAATTTTAGAAGTTTACGGAGATTATGCAGGTTTAAAAATAAACAAAAATAAAACAAAGATTATCACTAAAAATATGACTGATATCCAAAAAAGATTCCTCAAGGTTAAATTAGGTATACAAATAGTTTCTAAATTTAAATACTTAGGGATAATCATTTATCGTTGAATCATGAATCGTTGTTCATCAATTAAAGAAGATAATTATGTTAAATTAATGAAAAAAATTAAAGTTGATCTAGAACATTGGAAAAATTTACAGCTCTCATTACTTGGGAGAATTGCTGCTGTAAAAATGAATATCCTACCCACATTGATTTTTTTGTTTCAGAATATTCCAATTTTCTTGGATAAAAACTTTTTTAAGGAGTTAAATAAAATAACTTTAGATTTTGTATGATCTGGTAAGAAGGCTAGAATAAAATTAAAGGCTTTACAGGATGCCAAGGAAAGGGGTGGTTTGGGCTTTCCTGATTGGGAATTATATTACCTGGCTGCGGCCCTATCTTGGATTAGTGATTGGATAACCTTAAAGAATCAAAGATGTATTCAGTTAGAGGGTTATGATCTTCAGCAGGGATGGCATGCTCATACGTGGAAGGGGCAAAATAGAAATTACCAATATTTTTTAAAACACAAGGTCCGGCAAGGGTTAATTAAAAGTTGGAATACTGTCAAATCTCAATATTACACAAAGATTCCGACATGGTTATCGCTACTGGAGGCAGTTATATATCCCAATTTGCTCAGGAAAGATAAGGTTATCAGGTACAAAGACATTTTGACAGAAGAGGGTCTTTTAAAATCTAAACAAGAGTTAAGACAACAAGGAATAGAGATAGAATGGTGGTCTTATCTCTAGATCCAAGCAAGATATCTGAAAGATAAACATGAATGGGGTATTTATAGACAAGATACGGGTCTAGATAAAGTTTTGCTTGGTCCGGAAAAAAAACAAATAAGGAATATTTACCTATTGGAGTACAGGCTATTTGAAGAACAGGTTAAAGAAACAATGGTGACATGGGCGATAGATCTAGGACACAACATCAATTTGGATCAATGGCAGCAGGTGTGGGTGCGAAATAATAAATTTACTTTGGCGTCTTCATATACAGAAAATTCGTATAAGATGATTTACAGATGGCATCTCCCTCCAGCAAGATTAGCCAAAATGTACAAAGGATACTCACCATTATGTTGGAAATGTAAAAAAGAAAGGGGCACATATTTTCATGTTTGGTGGTTATGTAAGGAAGCACAGAGTTATTGGCGTATGGTTTGGGAATGGGTAACAGAAATGAGTATGTAAAACATCCAGTATAAACGTGAGACATTGTTGTTAGGAATTCTTGAAAATAATGTTAGTAAAGAAGATATGTATTTATTCACTCATGTGGTTACAGCGGCAAGAATTGTATTCGCTCAAAATTGGAAAGCTACGGCTATACCTAGTGAGGAAATCTTAATTCATAAAATTATGCACTGCGCAGAATTAGATAGGTTAACTAAAAGACTCAAAAATCAGGATGAAACGGATTTTTACCAAATTTGGAACAAATTTTATAGATGGCGTGGGAAAAAATATGGAAGTCATTGTAATGAGATAAGTTAAGATTGAGATTAGAGTGATGTTATCATAAATGCTTTTTTTCTTATATTAGTAATTAATTGTGAATATGAACTGAGATGTATGTCAATTCTGATTTACCATGTTCAATGTTTTTAATTTTTGTTATTCAATAAAAAATATTTTAAAAAAAATGTCACTAAGCCTTACAGGTACCCCACTCTTAAATTAATCTAGACATTTAACACATGCTGGAACAAAACAGCTTTGATATATCCATGAAATGCCAGCAAGGTCAAAGCAATTTGTATCCGTACCGTGGTGCCTGCCAGCAGTTTGATTCTCACCCGCTGAAAATTGACTCAAACTTCCATCCTTTGGAAATGGGTAAAATGGTGTTATAAGTGAGAAGTTCTGTCAATTGGTTTATACCCTATGAACTTGTAAAGAGGAAGGCCTGCAACAGGCCTCTTTGATCATCTTGGTATGAGCCGAGGTGGCGCAGCAGTTAGAGTGCAGTACTGCAGGCCACTTTAGCTGATTGTGTTCAGCAGGTCAGCGGTTCAAATCTCACCAGCTCAAGGTTGACTCAGCCTTCCATCCTTCCAAGGTAGGTAAAATGAGGACCCAGATTGTTGGGGGCAATGTAAATATATATATACATTGCTTACTGGTGTACACCGCTTAGAGAGTGCTTGCACTTAAAACGGTATATAAGTCTCATAAATAAATAAATAAATAAATCTATTCAAAGAGGCAGGTTCGATTAGAGTAAAGATTCTATTAATCCATTTCATTTAAGTTCTTTTGTAGATGATTTATCACAACCTTCTCAAGGTCACTTTGAAAGATTGGGAAAGTTGGAAATGAATATTATGTTCTCAAAACAGCTGGTTCCAAGGAAGAATTTTTCAAGAGAGGATATACTACTGCCCATTTTAGAGTAGACATTATAATCTTCCATAAGAAAAGGCTGGTAATGTATTGGAACGTGGGGGCACAGTAGTTAGATTGCAGTATTTCAGGCTAATTCTGCCCACATCCAGAAGTTTGATCCTGACTGGCTCAAGGTTAACTCAGCCTTCCATCCTTCCAAGGTTGGTAAAATGAGGACCCAGATTGTTGGGGGGCAATATGCTGGCATTGTAAACTGCCCAGAGAGTGCTGTAAAGCACTGTGGAGCGGTATATAAGTCTAAGTACTATTGCTATTGGAACTACAACTCAAGCCATTCTTGGCCACCCCAAGATATAGGACAGGACATAACTGAGCTTTCATATGGCAAAATTCAAACTATCGAAGGTCCTATCCACTTGCTCATTCTCCACAAATTGCAAAGAATCCCAGACTGTGATGCAAAACACTGCCTCACTCACCACAGTAAACTCTGGTGTCCAATCAAGAATGCAAATGGTTACTTTATCTAGCAAAAAAACGCAAATAAATTATGTCTTCAGGAACTTCCCCAAAAGGTTCTGGATTATTTTGAACAGGGCTGCTGAGCAAGAATTATTATATAGCTAATTTGTATTTTATCCAATTTATATAGTTTACTAATTACACAGATACACAAACAAACAGTAAACATAAAGAACTGATACTTTGCCATTCATATTGCTGCTGTGCAAGGTAAACTTGTAGCAGGTTAAATTAAAATGATGGGCTGGGGGAAATGTGCTTTGAACAGTTATTTGTTATACTGTACATACAACAGAGTGCATACATAGAAATTGGTTTCAATGATGAAAGTGATTTTTGCCATTTTTTTTTTTTTTTTTTGCAGATCAGCAACCTGGAGCACTTCAAGGAATTGATATAGCCCTTAGATAAGTAGTAATCACAAATCTGTCATGTCACAAACTATTTTCTACATTTTTCAGAAGTGACATTATTATCCAGCTATAGGACAAGTAGTCCTCTTCATTACTTCATTTTGTTCACAGTTACTCATGCCGGTAAGTTGCCAAGAATCAAACTTGACTAGAAGACACAAAAAAGTGACATATAGCAGAATTCCCCAACCCTTCAGATTTGACAGCCCAGAGCAGGCGGAGGGGGAAAAGAAGGGATGGTTTGTGAGCATGCATGAACACCCATTGTTCATGTGAGTGAGGCTGCGAGTGTCCTCGACACTTGTGGTGATGTGAGCACTTGCACATGGGGCCACAAAAGCCCACAATGCTCACATGAATTGGGTTGCAAAAACCGGTGACTCGCAATGACGCTTGCGCAAATGGGGCCGCAAATTCTCACAGTGACATTCATGTGAGTGGGGCCGCAAATGCCCACAATGCTAGTGGCGACATTCATGCGAGTGAGGCTGTATGTGCTCACCGGCCATCCATTCACATAGTCCGGTGGCCAATAAGCTGTGGCCTGGCAGTGGGCTATGACCCACAGGTTGGGGACCCCTGATATATAGTACTTTTTGAGTTGTCAAATTCTTATTGATGATATTTTTCAAAAGGCTACTGGTATATTTTAGGAAAAGTATCAGGAATAGTATAACCAAATGCTTAACATGTTTTTTTTTAAAAAATAAGCTGTTCTTTTTAGCTGAATTATTTTAGAAGTAAGCAGTAGGTGTTGCCTTAGTTGCTAGAACTTATATTACATAGACACTGTTAAAACCCAGTTATTATTTCCACATTCATTTAACTGCACTATTAAACCAACAAGAAGCTAAAACGATGGACAGTGAAAATACTTACTGACATCAGTTCTTTCTGGAAAGATTTCTTATCTTTACTTTCTGAATTATTACAGTCCTCTTTCAATTTCTCCAACACAGAAGCAACACATTCTGGTTCACTGTCCAATTCTGCTCGACAGAAAAAAGCAAGTGACAAGTTTCCATATCCCAGAGCATCTGCAAAGGCATGCCAGCTGCTAATATTTTCCATCAGCAAAGTCCTTACTGAAGCATAGATATACGTCAGAAATTTGCAAGGTCTTAGGATTTGCTCCAGCAACATACCTGTGGTAAGCTCAGGTCCAAAGAAATAATTTGGTTTGACTTTTCCAATAATTAAAACATTTTTAGTATGGACTAGGCCAATTTTACCATGATAGTATCCAATGTACCATTCCTTGGTCCAGAGCTGACCTTTCAATCTGATTTTCTCCTCACTTAGCAAAGCTATAGTGTCTCCTTTCTTATACTCCAAGAGATAATGATTCTTATTTTGCCTCACTACTGTTTTCAGCATTTTGCCATATTTTAAACCAGTTACAATCCGATCTTGGAAAACAGGATATTTGCTGGTGGTCACAAGAGGAGACAAAATTATTTTCCCAATTTCATTTTTTTTCAGAAACCTTCGCTGTCCAGTGGACTTAGCAGCATTTTTAAGAAGTGGGTGAGGTGTCTGTACAGAGAACTGAGCAAGCATAATATCTTTGTCATCTTTGATTTGTATTCTTAAAGTAAAATCAGACAGCTCATTAGGATCATGTGATATGATAGGGAAAATGAGGCGACTGACTTTGCCAAGCTTCATTTGGAATCCTCTCACCATTTTTGCCTGATCACTGGCTTTCACCTCATAATTAGGCATATTTGAAAACATACAAAGTTTTAGGTCTTGTGGCCTTACTAAGAAGAACTGGTGCTTTCCCCACAGGTGCAGCATTACAGGTGCTGTACTATGTACTTGACATGTAACTTCATTCACTAGAAGACTTTTTGGGGCACAGTCATGTCCAAATACAGCAACTACAGTTTTAAATGAAGGATGTATGTGTTTTGGACCATAGACCCCAATTGTAATTTTTTTACTTATATAATCCCAAACTGTGTAAGGATATGAAATGTTCTGTCCTTGGGCTACAACAGCTATATACATGCAGGGCTCCAGGTTCTCCAACTGAATCTTGATTGTGCCTCCATAACAGTAACTTAGCACCATTGGAGTATATGGGCCTTCCTTCATATCACTCCTCAGGCACCTTATCGCTACTAAATTCTTGCTCACAATATCATTGTTAACTTCTGCTGAAATTTTCATTTCCAATATAATGGGTGTTCTGATTTCCATGTTGCTCAGTTTAATTTCTAGCAGAGGACTTATGGTACTGCATTTGTCACTGTTGAGCTCCAGTGGCGGATCCAATAGAGCTTTCATAGAGATCTGTTGTGAATCTCCATCAGCCACATGTCCTTCAGGTACATGAATATTAATATTTGTATCTGGAAGTTGAACTGCACCACCTGAACTATCCAGTTTGCAAACTATGTTGGTCTCCACAGGTTGTGTCTGACCCCAACCAGGGTTCTGACCCAGCAGATCCAAGTCATGGCATGATCTTGCTAGTTTCCGATGACTTAGCCATGCAACCCTGAAATCTTCTCTAGTTTGGAATTGCTCTGGAGTAGGAGATTTCAATCCAGTAAAGAAACCTGATGAAGAAGGACTTTCTGATTTTGCCTGAAGTATAGAGAGCTCTGTTAAACTGTATGAGCGTTTGCTTCTAAAAAAAGGATTGTCTCGTCTGTTTGGTTGCTCAAAATCAAATCCATTCACTTCATGCACTTTATCAAGATTATTACCTGCACTGCTATGTGCTGCAGGTTTTGACCCTGTAAATGTTGGCACTGTATCAAAGAGTAACAAATCCATTGTGATTTGGGGGGAATCTTCTTTGCTTTTTTCTGACATTTCTTTCATATTTCCATTCAGAAAATGGTTAGTAGTTTGAGTACTGTTCAAAAAAGGATTGTTTTTAGCTAAGTTCCACTTTGCATCTGACCAGTCTCCAAGCAGATCCAGCTCCTTTGCTCCTTCATTAGAATTTTCAAGGAGATAGTCTATCATTCCACTGTCAGTTAATGATGAGTTCCAATAGTTTATGGGCTGCACATAGGAGGATGGGATATAGCCCATTTCTGTGGTATTGTGTGCATACCACCACTCACCTCCTGAGGTATCTAAGATATACAGATGATCTCCCTTGGAAAACTTCAATGTAGTAAAGTTGTTTGGACAATAGTCTTTAATAGCTATAACTTCCTTTGCCGTTCCCAATGATGTAGAACTATCTGTCATCAAGGCACCAGGAGAAGGCACTACAAAGAAAATAGTGGATGGCAAATGACATAATCAATACTACATACTACACAAGTTATATCAAAGTTATATCAAATAGGAAGTACTCCTATTAAATCAGGATACAGAACTGAAGCCTCAAAGGCTTCATGTGAACCTTGAAAAATGTGGGTGTACCTCCCGAAATCCCTCTCTAGACTATAATTAAATTGTACTTGATATAATATGATAAAAGATATATACAGGGATAATCACATTAATTTTCATGTAATTTAAATTAACTAACAACATAACTGTCACTATTCCATCTAGTTTTTTCCTTTTTTCCCAAATGCACTGATCCACAAAATAAAATGCAAATTAGCCCCCAAAGCTTGGGATTTTATAACCATGATTATTATCTACAAATTTCTTCAGTGGGATTTAGAAGTAAGCATGCAGCTCCCAAAGATACTTTAAACCATAGAATCATTTTTATTAATCTGTGAAGAAATTGTTATTGTACAAGAAATTGTAGAATATTATCTAGCACAGTGGTGGTGAACCTATGGCACGGGTGCCAGAGGTGGTACTCAGAGCCCTCTCTGTGGGCATGCACGCCGTTGCCCCAGTCCTAGGTCTTCAGTTGGATTTTATAAAACCTTTTTTGCTTTAGGCCTCTGCCACCGTGGGCAAAAAAAAAAAAAGGTTCAATCAGTCAATTTCAACTTCTCGCCGGAAAAAAAAGATCTTGCAAAGTTGGAATTGATTGATTGAACTTTTTAGTCCCACCCAGTCTGCCGTTACCACCGCAGCCACGCCCACCCAATGGGCCACACCCACCCGGCCACCCAATGGGCCACAACCACCCGGCACTTGACGATGCATAAGTGGGTTTTGGGTTGCAGTTTGGGCACTCGGTATCTAAAAGGTTCACCATCACTGATCTAGCATTAGATTATATTCAACTATCCACTGAATTCAGCTGGAGTGTCTGTGACTTCTGAATAGGAATTTACAAGATTTTTCCCTTGGAAAATTATCAGATGGGATTTTGGCATTTTGATAAAAAACAAAGACATGAATGAAAATGATTTGGTTTATAATACAGATAGAATAGTTGCAAGATTCTAACTTATACTAGCTATATATGCATTTGTAAATACCAAGTAACAGTGATTTTGATAAACATGAAGTCATGTGGGTCACTTTGGGGCAGTCATACTCTCTCAGCCCTAGGAATGGCAAACTACATAGTAACTATGATAATGCTTCAATATAATTTAGATAAGGGAAAATCTACTCTTATGGAATTCTTTGCATCCTTTACTATCAAGGAAAATAACACTGAGAATTGCAAGTCAAGGCAAAATAAAAAAGAGATTTAGATAGTAATACTGGAATTGAAAACTTTACAGAACTGCTAATGTACTCAAGGCTAAAGTATTGAAAAGTCATCATTTATACGATGTATGTGTGAGCACAGGGAGGCCAGGGACAGATGAGCATAGGGAGGCTATGATGCTCCCTATGATTAGTATAGGGAGGCTGAGTAAAGAGGGTACTGGTGGGTGGACGTAAACATAGGGAGATCAGGGAAGGATATTGGTGGGTACATGCAAGTGTAGGAAGGCCCAGGGAAATAGGATGCTGGTGGGTGTGTGCCTATGTGTGAGCACAGGGAACCTGTTAAAGAAAAATGCTGAGTGTGTGCATGTTGGTGTGTGCATGTGAAGTCCAGAAAAGGAGGGCAATGGTAGGTGTATGCCTGTATGTAAGGAGAGTGCTAGTGGGTGCAAACAAGTGAGGAAAGGTGTGTGGCATGTGTGAGCAAAGAAAGGCTGTTGGGGGGGGAGACTTACTGCAATGATTTGTGACCTTCCTTGCTGGTTTCCCCATTGACTTTGCTTGTAGGAGGTTGGCAGACAAGGCCAGCGATCACATGATTGTGGGATGTTGCATTGTAATGTGAGCTGGTTGCCAAGCACCTGAATTTTGTTCAAATGACCACAGGGGCTCTGCAATGGCTGGAACATCAAGGACCAGTCATATGTCCCTTTGTTCAGTGCCATCATCATTTCAGTCACTGAAGAAATGGTTGTGACTTGAAGACTACCTGTAATTAAAGAAGATACAGGAAATCCTCAAGTTATGAATGTACAGTAATTGAGTCTGCCAATTATGTTTGAAGGTCGTAAGAATGTTAAGTGAATAACATTAAATGAATGAGCTTCCATTCCTGCTTTCCCTGATGCATTTGTCAAATAAATACATGGGTTGTTAGGTGAAATATGGGGTGCCCCAGGGGGGGTTGCCTTTGCCTCCAACCTCCCAAGCCCTGTCCCCACCCCGAGATATCCCATATTCTGTTCCCACCACTTCTGTTCCTTCTTTGGTTTGCTGCTTTTAAAGCTGCAGGATTAGGAAATAGGTAAGCTGTGTGCTTTAGGCTTTGTCAGTGAGATGGCTTCACAGGGTAAGATGTGCTGGGTTGGAGAAGTTTAGGCTCCAAGGAAGGTCAACTCTTGAGCATGAGAACACGTTTCTTGGCTTTTCCACTCCTTTCTTCTGAGTTGGCGTTTGAAGACTTAAAAGGAATATGCATTTCTCTCTTCCTGAAACACTGCAAGTGCCTACCTTTCTTGAGGTAAAGAACTTGCTTGCAAGAGTTGAACTTGCTGAGAGCATAAACATATCCAAAGCAGCCCATTTTACCTCATAAAGGCAGCCCAGCTCCTGTTGCTAGATCATGCTGGGAATTTTTTCACCACAACTGAGCTGTGGAAAATAGCATATAAAGCCCTTGTTGGAAATTTTTGAAATAGAGGCAATCCCCGAGTAATGAGTGTTTCCTTAGCGAACGTTCAAAGTTATGCTATAAGTATCCCCTAGTGTTTGCGAAAAAGTCCCAAAATTACAAATGTTGCCGCATCACGGCAGTTGTTTGCTCTTATGAACGACCACAGTGGCATTGCAACATTCACCTCCCTCCACCCACCCCCCGGTCTCCCTAGGCACTAGGCCTATGGATACTCTCCTTGTGAAGATAGAGAGATCCTATGCTTTTGTGGCTGCTTCCTTTGGTGCATTCACAGAGAATGGAGGCCTAAACTAACGTGAGATCACATGAGATCAGTGGAGTGAGACCTCACGCTACTGATCTCGCATGATCTCATGGTAGTTTAGGCCTCTGTTCTCTGCAACACAGAATGAAACAGAAGCCGGGGAGAGAACGGACCTCCAGAGGCACGCAAAAGCCTCCCCTGGCCCCTCTTCTGAGCCTCGGAAGCTTGGAGGAGGTCTCTGAGGCCCAGAATGGACCTCTGGAGCCCTGCTGAAACATCCCCCGGCATCATTTCCAGACAGCAGCAGCCTGAAAAAGACCTCTGATGCCTGGATCAGGCCTTCAGAGCCCTGCTGAAGCATCCTTTCCAGGCGACAGCGGCCCAGAAAAGGCCTCTGAGGCCCGGATTGGGCATTCGGAACCCCACTGAAGTGTCCCCCAAAAACCCATTCTGAGCCTCAGAGGCCTCATCCAGGCCTCGGAGGCCCTGAAAGGAAGCCAAAGAGGCAGCTATATGCTTCTGGAGGTCCATTCTGGGCCTCGGAGGCCTCCCTTTGCTCTTGCCTGGAGCAGAGAAAGAAACAGAGGCTGGAGAGGAAATAGATCTTCACAAGGTAAGTGACCTAGTGCGGCAGGATGGGGGGGAGCAATTGTGGGCCCCCAGGGGAGGGAGCATGAGGTATTTCAGTGGATTGGGGGAGGCCTTGGGCGGTTGGAAGCACTAGCCCCCCATAGCCTTCCCCACCCTGAGATACCTCATGTTCACTTAAAGAGCTACGCATTCACCAACGCTTTAAATTAGCAAATGCATTGGTGAAAGCTGGGAGTGAATCGCATTCAAGATATGAGATTCACTCTTACAAATCCTTGAGTTATGAATGGAATGGGCAGGTTTCATTGCATTAGTAACCCGAGAACTACCTGTACCGCATGGGAATGCCAGCAGCAACTCATTCCATTTCGCCCATGTAGGAGTTCCCCTACCTACAGACTTTGTCCTGTGCTTTAGAAAAACTGCTCATCCTGAAGGATGTCTTTAAATCTGGATTCCCTACTGAGTGAAGGGAAGCAGCCTGGCTCCTTGCGACAATGAAGGCACTGCTTGCACCAAGAGCAGGAAAAAACGCTGCTCTCTTTTATTTCAGCCAATGGGGCTTTGAGAAGATGCAACAAGAGAAGTCGCTAAAACTTGGGTTGTCTCTTTCCTCACCTTCATCTTGATAATGAATGGCACAGACAAAGCCTAACGTGTACAGCTTCCCTATTTCTGTAGCTTTAGAAGCGTCAAAGCGAAGGCTTCATGTATGCTAATGCCTTGGGAAGGAAAGCAAACTTGCTTCTCTCCACCAAGCTTTAGCTGTGTATCATTATGCCTTGGGAAGAGAGGCAACGATTTCAGCCTACAAAAGATAGCTACTTCTCTCCCCTAAACTTTAGCTAAGTAGGCTAATGCCTTGGGAAGGAAGCTAGAGCTTCACCAGCATCTCAGAAAAAGAAGCCACTTCTGGAATTCTGTCATGTGGCCCAGCAATGGAGCAGCCTGTTCTTCTTCTATACTCCAACCTCGTAAGCCCTGAGATCTTGGAAAGGTAAGTGAGCAATCAGTGACTGAAGGCATGTGGGAGCAGAGCATGTGGAAGCTGGTGGACTGGCAAAACAAGCCCAGTACCTGCCCTAATGGGGCAGAATGGGAGGAAATAGACAGTGCTTGTGTGCTGACTTGGTAGTTCGTTGTAAGGGTGAATGACTATAGGAGTGCTGCAACAGTCTTAACTTTGGGACTCAGTTTTAAGTACTTTGGGGGAAGGGTGTTATGGTAACTTTGAACCATCGATAAGTGACCTGTCATAACTGTGATACACTTGCATGGCCTAAGCTGTAATGAAACAAATAAGAAGAAAAAGAGTGTGGCTCAACTTGACAAGCTGGCTGCTACTGCCTAATGAAATAGCCCTTCCCACTTCAAAGAGTCTATGC